ACCAGGCTTCTCAGTCCATGGAATTTTCCAGGCAAGAGTACTGGAATGGGTTGCCATTTCCTTCTCCAATAGCAGAAGGGTAGGCTGGAAATAAAAACTAGGAAGGTAAGTGCATAGAGGCCATGTAAAGTCAAGAATGGATGAGATACCTAGGAGCCAGAGTGAGAAGTGCATGGTTTCTAGAAGGTGGGAATGGCAACAGAGCATAGGTAGCTGGATTGATTTCAGATAATTAGGGGGAGAGACATTTTCATCATAACTCAACAGCAGTAGACCCATACCGGTACAGATGCAAGAAGCTTTGTACATTTGGTTGGCTCTTAGGTGAAATAGTTCAATCTGATGGCTTCTCTATTTGCTGAAGTAGAATCCATGGTTGTCTGCTGAGGAGAAGGAGGGTACACAGGCATTTGAGCAGGGTTGGCAAGTTTGAGATACAGTGGTGAACAGAAGAAACATGGTAGTATTTCCCAGCACTATCTTGGATCCTGTTGGCCTTAAGTTTGTAATGTTTCAATCTGCCTGGGTTGAAATGAATGAGCTATTACATTAAGATACACAGCTTTACACACACACAAACACACACACAATTTGTATAGTTAAGTATTTTTGAGGTGCAGTTAGCTCTATGTTTACCTTGGTGAATGATTCTCAATTGGTTTATCATCATCTTTCTCAGGATTTTCATCAGAGTGTAAAGCTGATTTTGCTACTTCTGAATAGATTAAATATATTCTTGTGATATCTGTAGTGGAGCCAGTTGCGGGACATGACGTGTAGATATTAGCTTCAAAATAAGATACACAGTGTAACACAGAGCCAAACTAAAGAAAGATTTTTCTAGTAAATAGGAAAATGTTATTTTGCATATTTAAGAGAGCTCAGTCAAGCCTCTAACAAGTTTTGAAATGACACTATGACACAATGACTCTGTCTGGAGGGGCAGTCAAATTAAACAATAATTGGAAATGTGTTTTAAGTTTTACAGGATTATCACTATTTAAGTAATGTTGAAATACCTTTTGTTCTTAAAAAAAGACTGAAAGTCCAAGTACTTCTTGGACTTGCCATCACCTTTCTGTTCATCTACCATCCATGATTCTATTCCCCAGTATAACAAAATGATCAGGAAAAGTTGTCTGTATTCCTTATTTCTACTTCCTCATTGCCCAGCCCTTGTAATTCAGGCTTTCATCCTGTCCACTCCCATGCTAACTTCTTGCATGGCCTCTGAATTTCACTTATGCTCACCCCTGCCCCTGCATTCTTCAAAATTATTTGATGACTTTGAAATAAAAAATCATTCCCCTGCTTAAAATCAAGTTTTAGACCCACACCCAAAGTGGTCTGGGCTGAGTCCAGGCATTACTCTATTTGAAAAGTTGCTCAGATAATTCTAATGCCAAACAGGCTGAAAAACACTGCTCTAGAGGCTTTTCTCATACTCAGAAAGAGTAAAAGCTGAACAGCCTGATGGTATACTGGGCTTCTGCCAAGCTTTCTGGTGTTTCACCTCTTCATTTCGAGTCATATTGGCTTTCTTCAAAGATGTGGGAACTTTGTTCTTCTCATCACTGTATTTCTAGCACTAGGATAGTGCTTTCTGGTAAATGTTCAGTAGATATTTGTGTAATTAATGAATATTTTACAGATGCTGTTTGTTTCTTCTATAGTAGTGATTATCTTGTGATTAGTGCTGATTAGGTTGCTGGCATTTTGAGTCTTCAAGAATGCTCCCAAAATTATACTATTGGAACAAACATCACAGGCTAATGATTCCATCTTATTTATCTGTGGCTGCTTTGGGTCTTGGCTGTGGCATGCAGGGTCTTCATTGCATCACACAGATGCAGTCTCTAGTTGCACTGGTAGCAGATTCTTAACCACTGGACTATAGTCCCTTCAACTATTCCATCTTCTGACACTGACTCCTTTTTTTACTGTCAGAATGCCTGCTTTTCTCTTTGTTTGCTTTTGTGTGCAGTATTGACATTTCAGATCTTTCCTGGTGTCCTGTTTCTGTTTTTATTTGGAGTAATTTTTTTTTCCTATATTGATACTTTCCCACTGTTTTCTGTGGGTAAAAAAACTGATCTTACCAGTGTTTCCAGTCAGTAAGAGAATCCTTCTCTTTCTGTGGGTAAACAGACTGTTCATAGTGTTTCTAGTACATAATCTTTAGATTACATGTCCTTCTCCCCTATGTTTATTCTTAATAGATGCAGGGGGGCTCTTCCTTTGGTGTAAAAAACCAAGGTGGAATTGATGGGGAGGGTTAGATTCTAAAGAGGAAGATCATAGGAAGTACTTGTTTCTGAGGTCAGCGTTTGAAGCCTAATTGATGCAGGGTTGAGATTTTACTGAATCTGGGCCTATGAAGTCTTTCTGTAAAAATCCATGTAGTAAACATTTAGGATTTGGTGAGTTAAGTGCTTGAGTGCAAGGTGGTCAGCTGCATGGCAGCTGGGGAAATGCTGGGAATTTAGTGGCCCTAAGAGCAACCCTCAACGAACTGGATAGATCCCCCAGCTTTCTCTTAGGAGGAGAATTCTAAGTCATGTTTTTTGTGATTCCTCAGAAGGGCTCTTGCAGGACTGAACTCCAGTTATCCACAGAAGTTAATGAGTTCTTAATAGACTTTTCTCCCATGTCTCACTTTTCCTAATCCCCTCAGGTATGCTTCCTGGGATCTCCGCCTCCCCTCATCCCACCTCAATAAACTGCTTGCCCCAGAGTTATTTCAGGGTTGTGTTTTGAGTTAAGACAAAGGAAATCCAAATGACTTAAGTCAGTATTAACAAAACTATTATTATTAGCAGCGTACAGCTTTTTCCTCTCTCTCCCTGCACTGGAAATATATGTTGTGACTGCCTTAATGATTGACATTGGTAGCAGAAGTGAATGGGTTGAAGAAGAAAGTATTAGATACCAATCTACCATTCCTTCAATTCAGCTCAGCCTCACTCTGCACTGGTTACTGTCATTCTTTACAAATGATCTTTTTCTGTCTTCGGCTCTTTGTTCCTAAAGAAAACAGTAAACCATCTGTAACATGTGAGACGTTTACCTCATAGTATACAAAAAGGTCCCAGCCTTCCTTATTTGCTTGTGAGCCAGATTGGATTTACTGTTTTCTAAAAGTTGATAAATTCTGTGCTGGAAAGTAATTTGAGAGGCCGGGTACTATATATTGAATACATTGTGTCACAAGTAAGTAGTTGTAAAATATGTATTTCTGTAGCCAGACTTCAAATAACATAATTGACAGGGCTTTCCCAAAACAAATACTGAAATTTCAAAATGCAGTAAAATCACAAGTAACAGTTTTCCTATTAAAGTACTTACTCATTAAAATATATATTTTTTTTTTTACTATCTGGGGAAATTGAAGGTCTTTTTCCCCTCCTTGTGATCAGTTTCCTCCATAATGAGGAGAATTATATCAGTTACCTTTCACCATTATAGAAGGTGTTTCTAGGCTCATAGTGTGGTGATTTGATGTTTTACTATCTGAGGCTTTCAGGGAGACAAGTTGTGCTAAAAAAAAGTTTCAGGTTTAGTATATACTTTTAAACTTATCTTCTTAAAACAGACCAGTTCTTTTTAAAACTGTATTAAAATGAGCTTTATATCAGAAGCATGATGATAGTTTTCATTTTTTCCCCCCCTCTGGAAAGCTTTGTTTTTCTATGTTGTTGTTGTTTCAATATCCTGTTCCCCCTTTTTGGTTCTTAGTTCATCATATAATTGATCCCCACATTCTTTACTTTTATTGCTATTTTAATAACTAGCTGAAATTGGGTTTTATTTGTAAATTTATTGCTATGATCTGCTGTATCTGGGGGTAGCCAAATCTTGTGTAAGTTACACTTTTCTTTATTTCAGTTCAGTTCAGTTGCTCAGTTGTGTCCAACTCTTTGCGACCCCATGGATTGCAGCACACCAGGCCTCCCTGTCCATCACCAAGTCCTGAAGTTTACTCAAACTCATGTCCATTGAGTCAGTGACACCATCCAACCATCTCATCCTCTGTTGTCCCCTTCTCCTGCTTTCAATCTTTCCCAGCATCAGTCTTTGCAGATGAGTCAGCTCTTCGCCTCAGGTGGCCAAAGTATTGGAGTTTCAGCTTCAACATCAGTCTTTCCAATGAATATTCAGGACCGATCTCCTTTAGGATGGACTTGTTGGATCTCCTTGCAGTCCAAGGGACTCTCAAGAGTCTTCTCCAACACCACAGTTCAAAAGCATCAATTCTTCAGCACTTAGCTCTCTTTATAGTTCAACACTTTCTTTATTTAGTTTCTTTTAATTGTATATGAGTATTAAATAGTTTAACAGGTATTAATGTTTTTTCTTGTGCCAAAATATATTGGGGGGAAAATGTTACTTTTCTTGGAATATAGTTGGGTGTGTGGTTGGGATGTAGTTTTTTTGTTTTTGTTTTCTCTCAAGCTAAGTGTTACTCGTGGATGTTTTCTTTTCCAGGCTCTTCTTTACCTAGGATAGTGGTTTTTGTTCATTTTCGTCCCATCTTACTTTTCACCACCTCTTAGCCTCCGCATGCTTCTGCAGCCTCACACACCTCAGCTTTCTCACCAGCTTTATCATCAGAATATTGTCCATTGCTCAAAGCTGGGCTAAGAATCCACCACCTCCATCTCATTGTTTATTCATCCTTTTGACTCCAGCCCCCAGCGTCCTCTTTGTTCTCTGCATGCTTTCAGAGGGTGCTTACTCTGTCATGTGTGTCTCCTTTAACCATTAGTGGTTACCCTCGTATTCTGCCGCTGCTGCCTCCTCTGTTAGCTTTCAAGGGCAGAGTGTTTTCTCAGCGGTTTGCTATTTCTTTTAGTATTTCTTCAGTATTACTTATCACATAACGGGCACTTAGTATTTAACTAATTGTTCATATTAAATACCTAGTTACTTAGTTTTCTGCTTGTAATTTCTCTCAAGGCAGTCCTGCAGATTTTTAAGTGTTTTGTTTGTTTTTTTAATAGATGTGAAAAAAGATTGGTCTGACCATGCTCTGTGGTGGGAAAAGAAGAGAACTTGGCTTCTCAAGACGCATTGGACCTTGGATAAGTATGGCATTCAGGCAGATGCTAAGCTTCAGTTCACCCCCCAGCACAAGCTGCTCCGCCTGCAACTTCCCAACATGAAGTATGTGAAGGTGAAAGTGAATTTCTCTGATAGAGTCTTCAAAGCTGTTTCTGACATCTGTAAGACATTTAGTAAGTACTATATCAATTCTTCATGAAATTATGAGTTGTGTGATATGTATATGACTGACACTGAGTTTATCTCAAGGAGTAGGGATTGGGGTGAGCAATCTGTGCTTGTGTGTATGTGAAATTATTACTTTATTCTTTAACGTTTTTATATTTAAGATAAAGACATACTGAGTTAAACTAGAACAGGAGTTTAGTAGAGCTCTTTCCTTTCTAGAAGTATATCATATACTTATTGAATACCTTCTTCTGATGACCTTATTTTTATGGAAAGGAGAAGAGAACAGGCTTTATTTTCGGAGGAATGTAGCTTTTGTAGTGTTCCCTTCAGTGCAAACCAGTATTTGCATTGATTCAGGCAGATTGTGTCACTTCCTTCACTGAAGGGCTGACACAGGTCCTAAGGAAATGACCACGTGTGTTGGCATCCTTAACCAGTCTACAGTTTGACCACTCTTGTAGCAGTTCTGTTTATGTTTTCTGAAATGAGATGTGGATTACGTTTGGTTGACTCAGTTCTATCACATGACAGGAAGTATTTAACCATCAGAGAAAATCTGAATCATTCTCATCATTAATACATAATTCTGTCGTACCATAGATTTGGGGACATTACTGTTTTGATCTAATAACTCAAATTACAAGGTTTTTTTATGTTTAATGGAGTTTCTAAGAAGAAAAATAAAAATACAGAAAAATACTAAGACTTATGTAGCATTTACCTAAATGTCATCTAGAATTAATAGTTGATGTTTTGTCATTTTGCTAAACTTTTAAAGTCAAACAATATAGCTAAAGTTTTTATTCGTATTCTTGTCTAATTTTCCTTTATAAAGCAGCTACTGTCATAAGGTTAGTTTGTATCTTTCCAGTACTTTTGAAAATACATAAATACACATACATGCACATACACATATTCATATCTGTGAGTGTATATACTCAAAAAATATGTTACTATAGTTGTATAGTATCTTACATTATTTTGTACATGTGTGGTGGAATCTCTCTTTTGTGTTTGTGTAGAACTAGAAGGTAGAATTGTTTTAAGTGTATACATAATTCATTTCGGGTACTGTCAAATTGCTCTCCCAAGTGGTTATACCAGTTTACATTCCAGCTCACAGTGTGTGAAAACTCATTGCCCGAAGCCATCACTAACACTTGAATGTTGTCAGTTTTTAGTGTTTGTTTCTCTGAGTGAAAAAAATACAGTATTGCATTTTAGTTTATAAAGATAACTATGTCTTTATGTCTTAGCTGGCTATTTCAGTTTCTTTTTTGAATTGCTTGTTTATATCACTTAGCAATTATTTTTAATTAATAAACTTTTTTAGAATAGTTTTAGGTTCACAGCAAGATGGAGCAGAAAGTATAGTGTTCCTATTTACTCTCATTTCCACACATACAACCTCCCCACTGTCAACACTCCACACCAGCATGGGACATTTGTTATAATGATAAACCTTCATTAACACATCATTATGACCCAGACTCCATGGTTTACATTAGGGTTTACTCTTGATATTGTATAGTCCACAGTTTGGACAAATGTATAACCCTTATTATAATACCATACAGAATAGTTTTACTATCCTGTAAATCAGTGCTCTGCCTTTTCATCCCTCCACTACCAACCTATGGCAACTGTTCATTTCTTTACTGTCTCTGTAATTCTGCTTTTTACAGAATGTCATACAGTTGGAATCATACAGTATATAGCTTTTTCAGGTTATCTTTTGCTTAGTATACAGATTTAAGTTTCCTTCATGTCCTTTGATGGCTCGATAACTCATTTTTTTAAAGTGCTGAATAACATCCCATTGTCTGGATGTGCCAGTTTATTTTCCACACCTACTGACAGATATCTTAGTTATTTCCAAGTTTTGCGATTATAATAAAGGTGCTATAAACATTTATGTGCAAGTTTTTTTGTGAACATGTGTCTTTTACTCTCTTGGGTGGATTCTAAGGAGAATGATTGTTGGATCATATGGTAGGAAGATGCTTAGTTTTGTGGAAAACTGCTAAACTGTCTTCCAGAGTAGCCATGTCATGTTGTGTTCACATTCAGTAGTGAGAGAGAATTTCCGTTGCTCTACATCCTCACCAGCATTTGGTGGTGTCAGTGTTCTCGATTGTGGACATTCTGATAGATGTGTAGTGGCTTGGCACTGTTACAGTTTTGCATTTTAATGATGACATAAAATGTCGGACATATTTTTATATGTTTTGGTGAGGTGTCTGTTTAAAAGTCTGTTACCTATTTTTTAGTCAAGCTTTTTGTTTTTTTTTACTGTTACATTTTAATAGTTCTTTGTATATTTTGGGTAACAATCCTTTGTCAGATATGACTTGCAAATATTTTATTCTGGTCAGTGGCTTATCTTTTCTTTTTTTTGGCAGTTTCTTTCACAGAGCAGAAATTTTTAATTTTTATAAAGTCTAGTTTATCAGTTATTTCTTTCATGGTATGGTGTGTAATTATTTTTTATAAATACATTTTTTAATTTGATTTGCTAATAGTTTATTAAATATTTTTGCATTTATGTTCATTAGAGATATTGTTCTATAGTTTTCTTGCAGTGTCTTTGTTTGATTTTATTATTAAAAGTAATGCTAGCCTCATAGAATGAATTAGGAAGTATTTTCTCTGCTTCTGTCTTCTGAAAGAGATTGTAGGGTATTAGTATAATTTCTTCCTCAAAGATCAAGGAGGAAAGCTCCTTGACATGGGTTTTGGCAATGATTTTTTGGATATAGCATCTAAAGCACAGGCAAAAATAAACAGATGGGATTACATCAAACAACAGAATTTCTATGCAGCAAAAGAAATGATCAGAAAATGAAATATAATCTATGGAATGGGAAAAAATATCTGCAATCCACGTATCTTATAAGGAGTTAGTATCCAAAATATATAAAGAGCTCAATCAAAATCCCCCAAATAACCCAATTTAAAAAATGGGCAAAAGACCTGAATAGACATTTTCCAAAGGAGTTTTCCAAATAGGCAACGAGGTAAGTGACATGAAAATGTGCACATCACTGCTAATCATTAGGGAAATACAAATTAAAAGCACAGTGAGATATAGCTTACATTTGTTACAATTCGGTTCAGTTTAGTCACTCAGTCGTATCCGACTCTTTGCAAGCCCATGGACTACAGCACGCTAGGCTTCCCTGTCCATCACCAACTCCTGGAGCTTGCTCAAACTCATGTCCATCGAGTCAGTGATGTTAGTCTTGTTAGAATGCCTATCATCAAAAAGACAAGTGATGAAATGCTGGCAAGGATGTAGAGAAAAGAGAACCCTTGTGCACTCTTGGTGGGACTGTAAATTGGTGTAGCCACTATGGAAAACAGTGTGGAGGTTCCTCAAAAAACTAAAAGTAGACTACCGTATGACCCAACAATTCCACTTCGGGGAATATATCCAAAGGAACTTAAAACACCATGTCAAAGGGGTAACTGCACCCCCATCTTCATAGCAGCATTATTTATAATAGCCAAGACATGTAAACACTTAAGGGGAGGAATTGGATTAAGGTGGTCAAAAGGTGTAAGTTAAGTACTTGGGGATGTGGTATATGCCTGTTGACTAGAGTTAACACTACTGTATGGTTTATTTGGAAGTTGTTAAGAGAGTAGATCGTTAGAGTTCTTAACACAAGGAAATACTGTGGTGATCAGTATATGTAAGTTCACAGTATATGCAAGTTAAGTCATTATGCTGTACACCTTAAACTTACACAGTGTTGTCTGACATACCTGAGTTACGTCAGGCGTACCTCAGTATAACTAGAAAAAATGTTTGGTAGAATTTAAGTGAACCTGTCTGGCCCTAGTGCTTTCTGTTTTGGAAGGTTATTATTGATTCAATTTCTTTAATAGGTATAGGCTTACTCAGATTGTCTGTTTCTTTTCTTGTGTGACTTTTGGCAGACTACTTTCTTAGTTTTTTATCTGGTAAAAGTTATCTTGGTTTTCTTTTGTTATATTAGAAAATGCTCCTGTGTGGTGATTAAATGAGGTTCTTTGTTATATTTTCCTTTCCTTTTTGAAAGTAACACTTCTGGCAAAAGCATGCCAAGTTCTTTTATATAAGGTGAGTTCTGACATGCAGGCTTTACAAGTGAAGAGCCTTATTAAGAGTAAATGGAAAGTTCATTTGTGTCATTTTTTTAGTTTCCACATATAAGTAACATATGAATATTTCTCCTTGTCTGACTTCATATTCTGATGTGTCCTGACATAGTTTTAAGTTTATTCTGTTTTTATTGTAATTCTTAGATTTATGGATTTACAGTTATCAAATTTGTATAATTTTCAACCATTAGTTCTTCAAATAATTTTTGGTGTCCCTTCCCACACTTGCTATCATTTGCTGGACTTGTTCATATATGCTAGAGCAATTTTTATTCTTCCGTAAGTTGCTGATGTTCTCTTCCCTTTTTTGGTCTTTATTCTCTGTTTCATCTTGGATAGTGTTCACTGCTATCTTCAAATTTATTGATCTTCTGTTAATCCCATCCCGTGTTCATTTCAGATGTATTTTTCATCACTAGAAGTTTGGTTTTGGCCTTTTAAAAATACATAAATTTAAATTTTTTCTTCATTATTTTTATGCCTTTCCTTTCTTAAACATGTGGAGTGTACTTATAACAGCCATTTTCATATCTTTGATTACTGATTCTATAATTGTAGTTATTTCTGCATCTGTTACACTGCCCTCCCACTTTACTCCTGATAATGGGTTGTATTTTCCTGCCTCTTTTTTGTGTGGTAATTTCTGTTTGAATGTTAGAGTCTCTTAATTTTACACTGTTGGCTGGATTTCTTTGTGTATTCCTTTAAGTAATGTTGGGGTTTTGTTTTTTTCTGCCATATTTTTCAGTCAGATTACTTGAAATCAGTTGGATTCTTTTGATACTTGCTTTTAAGCATTATTAAGGACAAGTCCATTAGTCTGGAGCTAATTTTCTTCTGGGGATTCTTCTCAATG